ATGGCTTTAACAAATCTTGGGTACATTTATACACGTATATACATGAATTTCAGAACCCAATCATGTTACACACTTGAAAATTAAATTTTGACAAAGGAAGATGGGTTAATATTTTACTTTTTTTAAATATGAAAATAAATTTTTGTTATTTTCAAAAAAGTAAAAAGGTGTGTATTTATATGAGATTAACAATTTAATTTTTAAACGACAGTCAAATCTGATATAGGCGTGAAAAACAGTTGCGAGATTCTTCTTAGATAGAAGAATTATTTGTTTTACGATTTTCTGATAATGTAATTTTTTTTTTTAAAAGTCAAAAATGAGTGTAAATTTTTTCCAGCATATCATATATAGAGTTTTTGTTGTAAATTTAAGATTAGGTTTCTAACAAATTTTGAGAGAAAAAAGTTGTAATTCAAGGGCACTAAAACGGGTTAATCTTAAGTATTTCTCTATCGTAGTTATTGTCCCTCAATTAACTTCTTTAGTGACAAAAGTGATATAATTAGTTATAATTTAGACTGGGCAATTTAAGGTTAGGTTTAGATGGGGAAAAGTAGTTTAGGAGCGTAACAGTGTGTAGGGTACGCGTATCATATTTAGCAGATAAACACTTCTCAAAACTTAATGAGGGTAGAAAGATAAATATCATTACATTTTTAAATATATGAATCGGGACGAGTGTCTGCAATAACAGTTAGAAATTATAGCAATGGACCTACCATTATTATCCCGATAACATCGGGTCATTTATTCTAGTTTATAAAGACAGTGATAGTGTATACACAATGTTGAGAAGAGTGTAATATTGTCTATTGCTACGTTAACGTTGCAAATACGTTCAGTGTTGTGTAACGGTGTGATCATATTTTCATGACTTGTTATGTTGAATATTGGCAATATATAATATTTGACTACCTCGGGATATGCATATAGCCACCATTTGAGTCTACCTCAGCTGATGAATGTCAACACTGTCTAACTACTTCAGCTGATGAATGTCAACACTGTCTAACTGCTTCAGCTGATAAATGTCAACACTGTCTAACTACCTCAGCTGATAAATGTCAACACTGTCTAACTACTTCAGCTGATGAATGTCAACACTGTCTAACTACTTCAACTGATGAATGTCAACACTGTCTAACTACTTCAGCTGATGAATGTCAACACTGTCTAACTACTTCAGCTGATGAATGTCAACACTGTCTAACTACTTCAGCTGATGAATGTCAACAATGTCTAACTACTTCAGCTGATGAATGTCAACACTGTCTAACTACTTCAGCTGATGAATGTCAACACTGTCTAACTACTTCAGCTGATGAATGTCAACACTGTCTAACTACTTCAGCTGATGAATGTCAACACTGTCTAACTACTTCAGCTGATGAATGTCAACACTGTCTAACTACTTCAGCTGATGAATGTCAACACTGTCTAACTACTTCAGCTCATGAATGTCAACACTGTCTAACTACTTCAGCTCATGAATGTCAACACTGTCTAACTACTTCAGCTGATGAATGTCAACACTGTCTAACTACCTCAGCTGATGAATGTCAACAATGTCTAATTACTTCAGCTCATGAATGTCAACACTGTCTAACTACCTCAGCTGATGAATTTCAACCCTGTCTAACTACTTCAGCTGATGAATGTCAACACTGTCTAACTACTTCAGCTTATGAAACTAAAACTATTTGATTAAATCAACCTCAGCTCATGAAAGCAAACACTACCTAAATTTAAATGAAGTATAGTTTTAAATTGTCATTAATGAAATACAGGGTAACGATTCGCATTATTTGTAAAATAACTGGAAAATGATACATCAAACATAAAAAAATGAGAATTTTAGAAATTTTCAATAAATGTTTTTTTAGATATTAACACACGTACTCTTTCATAGAAAAAAAATATTTTATATGTAAAATTAACAAGTCTGTTCTTTTTTATTCTGTGCATAAAATCAAACATAGAAATAAGATTTTTATTGTTTCGATACCTTTTAAATTTAATTAATAATTTAACATTATATGTTCTTTGATTGTGTAAAGTAGGCACTTACACTGACGTGTTGCGTCATATGTATTTCTACAGCAAATTTGAAAATGTAAAATAAAAAGATAAAGGGGGGGGGGGGGGGGGTATATCAATAAGAAAAAAATGAGCAGTAGAATGTCTTAGAGCTCGGAAACGTAAGAGAAGATTTTGAAAAGTAAATCTTAACTAATCATTCAATTTATCAAAATATTTAATGGTGAAATATACTAACTTTTAAAATAATAATCTATTAAGTTGCCAGAAAAAAAGGAAACAGATTTTACTTGGACATGATTTTGCGTTTGTATTTCTTCAATCAATTAGCATCATCTGCCAACAAAATTAGATGCTGGGTGGCTAAGTCGTCTAAAGTGAGCAAATCTCAAGTTGGTGGTCTGGAGATCAATTCCAGCAAGAGCCCAGTCAAGCAAGTAGATGGGACTCGTTAACCTTGGAAGGCAACTCATCTAAGAGAAGGAAACTCTGAAATCAAAACCCGGAGATGGAGTCCCGAAAGGCGGATAACATTGATACAATGAAACATTCCGACAACTGGTGCCAAGCTGTATCATCCAATGATGTTCCCTTGGGTTATCCAGCGACGTGGAGAGAAGCGATTTGCTGTTGGGTACCAGCTTATAATCCTCTGAAGAATAATCCCAGACCATGTCAATTTCGTCCCCTGAAGCCCACTCCATCGTCACTTTGTGACGGGCGGATGCCAGCCAACAAAATTAAGATTTCACTGGATGAAGTCATGTATTCAACGTGTTATGATAGTAAAACAAGTTCAATTCTAAGTTTATTAAACACTTATTAAAGTGTTTTTCCTCATAATATTTTTAACGGCTTTCTAGTTTATGTCTTATTTTAATCCGTCCTGTTGTCCCGAGGAATGGTCTTATTCCGAAGTGTCTTGTCTTTCGCTTCAAGCATCCACACACCTTTTTCAAATGCTACCTTCAGTCAGCTTGAATGCAGTCCTTCATTTATTATATTATAAATGCGTGGCTAACTTTTCAAGTACAAGATTTTCATGAAGAAATATACTATGGTAAATCGACAGATGCATATACTATTTGAAAGAAAAATTATGTTAAAGTTGCCAAACATAACCGATGTCTGTACAGAATCAATAATTTAATATTATTTTTAATATAAGTTTCAACTGAACTTAATGATCGATAAATAATCTCAAAGACATGCATTCAAGTAGCTCAATACTGGATCTGGACGTTTATGTCCATGCCAATCGGTTTGAGGAAGATACAAAATTGTATCGATTTGCCTTCAATTTAACTGTCGGATAAAGGGGGAAAATATTAAAATAAGAATCTAAATCTTAAATAAAACATCTCGATCAGACAAATTCATGTTAATTTCAGCTTTCCAGAAATATTTTTTTCTCTGAGAAAAATAGAAATGATCTGAAAGGTGAGAATACATGTATTAGATTGAATAAACGAGCAATTTGTACAGCTGTCAAGGCTTGGTTGTAAAGGTCAGAGAAAAATGTCAAAGTCTCAACATTCTGTTAGATTGACGTTAATTTAAACCTCCGTTGACAGCGTAAAATCTACAGTTCTTGTATTCAAGTTGTAAATTACATGCTTATACAATTTGTTCCCCATAAAGTTATTTTCTGAATTAAGGTCACATGGCGTCTCTTTGTTTCGGGGTATTTATTTGACTTTCTATGACGTGGCATTCATAAATCGTTAAATTTCTAACATATTTAACGAGGAAAAAAAATGTGCGTGGCTTATTGATTGATCATTTCCTCGGGGAATCCCTTCTAACAAGTGGGGGGGGGGGGAAAGAAGATGCCCTGAACACATAAATGAGGATAAGCAAAAAACACATAACGTATTTTTTGTAAAATGTGCGTGGCTTATTGATTGATCATTTCCTCGGGGAATCCCTTCTAACAAGTGGGGGGGGGGGGGAAAGAAGATGCCCTGAACACATAAATGAGGATAAGCAAATAACACATAACGTATTTTTTGTCATGTTCTCATCACTTAAGAGAAAGCGTATAAGTGAAAATCTTTTACGTGGAAATTGGCCAGTAGGAATTTAATGTCACCCAAAGTGTAAACGAACACGTCTATTAAATCTCTCATAGAATACTCATTGCATAAAACAAATCAGTTGACGTGTGAAAAAGCGAAGTTTCGTTATAGTATTGATATAGGTCATTGTGATCTGGGCATATAATAATGATATAAAATATTGCAGTTAGAATTGTATCGTTAAAATATGCTTGACCACTTAATACTATAGCAGGTCTCTAGTCAATAGAATCATATTTTAGTTGTATGTATAAAAAAGAACAAGAGGCTATAACAAATATATCATATTTTTTAAATGGCTTCATAAATTTAAAATAATTTCTTTTTATGTTCGTTCATTAAAAAAAAGTAAAATTTAAATTAAACATGTTCTATTAATATCAGTAACAGAATGTTTCTCATAAAAAGAAAATGATGATTTAATTGAACACACACACAAAATTAAATTGAACTCTAGAATTTCAGGTTCTACAACAGTTGTTCTTAACTTTGATTCAATCGAACCCCAGGGGTTCGGTGAGTCAGTCTTAGGTGTTCGGAGGCGGTCCAAAAAAAAAATCAGAAAACAAATCATATTTTATTTTTCCTATTAAGAAGAGTTCGGTGAATGCACATATGGAACTGGTGGGGTTTAGTACCTCCAAAAATGTTGAGAACCACTGCTCTACAAGTTCTAATTTATTTCCAGATACTGGCTCATGCAATTCCCGGTATGAACGATAACTCTGGTTAATAAGTGAAGTAATAACCCCATTTGCAGTCCCCTTATAACTAAATGAAAGAATGTCATACATAAATTCAACATTTTCTATCGAATCATCCACTAATAGGACGATTGAACTAAATTACATTTACGATGTGCCGTTTGAAGTGTTTCTATGGATTAAGATAATTTTAAATGGTTATTTAGTTTTTTTTATGTCAATGACTGGTGTAATAGGTAACATTTTAGTCATCATTGTTGTGTACTGTCAAGGGTTGAAGGATACACCACAAATATTGATGATGTCATTAGCAGCATCGGACGCCCTCTTTTCAACAGCTACTCTAGTAATGCATTTTCCTGATATAATTTTCATTGTTGATTCTTATCTGGCTACAACATTTTTGACTTATATTAACGTGTACGTTGTAGAGATTTATTATTTTACTATCGTTCTGAGTTTTTGTACATTTCCACTCATCTCATTTGAACGCTTGATTGCTGTGTATTTTCCTTTTCAGGTGTCTAGAATTTGCACACCTATCCGCATAAAATGTATACTTATGTGTTTATACGTTTATTCATTGGCAACCACTATAATTTCAGTTTCATTTTTTTTCCCTGTCTGGTTACAAGACCCATCAAGTAACGATTCTTATGCTGTAATTGCTCGAACAAATTTTTTTCAAACCAATTTTGAAGTAATAATTGTATATGAAACAATAACTTTAATGTACCTACTCTCAATTATTCCAGTATTTCTAACAACAATCTGTTGTTTAATGATTATTGTGAAATTGGTACGAAATTCAAGGTCACGTTTGTCACAAGCCAAAATCAAAACCAAGAACTCTCGAAACATGCAAGTTGTAAAAATGTTACTGACAGTGTGTATGATGTCTTGTCTCTCAAGTATTCCCACTGTAGCTATTGACCTATTTAATCAAGCAGGACGTGAACAAGTAAGGAATATGTCAGAAAACTTTTACATTGTGTTGCAGACAGTAAATCAGATTCTTTATCAAGTAAGCCCGACTTCAAACTTTTTCATTTATTTAATCATGAGCTCAAAATTTTCAGCAACATTCAAGAAAATGTTTCAACATTACAAAAAATAAATCGTGTTGTTGACCTGCGATAGATTTATTTAGAGTAACTCCCACTGTTCTGTCATAATCAAGTTCATCAAGAGATATGAGCTCTTTAGCTATTTGTATTTGCTCTCCGTTCCAAAAAGGACAGTTTTTAAAACTCTAAATTCATGAATAACATGTTAACATTACTGTATGTTCGTAAAGACATTGATTGAAGTTATCATAGCAATTAAGGTTTTTTTTCTTCTTTGTGTTCACATTATATTTTTCTATTTATATTTTGTTTATTGTATTTCTTAACCCAATTCAAGTTTTTATACATTTTAAAAAAAAAAGTTATATTTATCTAACAACAAACTAAAAAAAAAAAGAAAAAAATGAATAAAGAAGTCGTGATATTTTTTGAAGTTGCATATTTTTTTTTGGAAAAAATATTTGGATAAAATTAGTAAAGAAATTTTATTCAAGCTTATGATAATATATATATATTATAATGCAATTAAAATCCCATTGCTTTTTTAACAAATTGTTTTAAAAAAATGTTAACATTCTAACATTTTAAAATGGTCACTTGTTGAAATTGTCGAATGACTCGAAAATATTAAAATGTAACAAAATTATTCATATTTTTTTGTACTGTTATGAATTATGATGTAAATGTATGAACTGCATGTCATGTATAGTCATTTCACATATGCCCGATAAAACTTTAGAAAGAGAACTAAAGTTACAACAAATAGTTTACTATATAGGTCCTATGTATTCAACAATACGCATTATTAGATATTTTTTTTATTAATATAAAGTCTAAATTCGTAACATTAATTTTATACTAAAACAACCTTTTTTATTGACTATTTTAAATTTTACTGTTAAATCAAATTTCTACTGAAAGCATATTGTGGAAATTCAAATATATTTTAAAATACGAATTAATTAAATAGATGTACAGTGCAGAGAATAATAATTTGTTAAATAATTAATTTTTTTGTTTGTTATTAGGAAAACGTTGTATTTGAGCCAATTATTTTAATGTTGGTTTTTTATGTTTAAATAAAAAATAAACAGTTTGTGTTTTAAAAAAAAAAGTTTTTATAATATTCAATATTTAAAAATGGATTACAATTAATATGCTTTTGCAAATTACACATACTTATCGAGGGTGATGGATATATACACTTTTTTGTTTGTTTGAGAAGAACTTATTATTTTTTTGCAAATACTTTTTTTTTCAGAGTTTAAATGTTTTACCGACTTTATTTTGTTAATATTTTTTTTTTTTTGGTTCTTTAAACTTTAAAGTCTTCGTTACCAACTCAAAAAGATCTGTTTACTCTGATGATTTTCTTTTTTGCCTACAAGATACGATTCTGAGATGTCTATTACGACCGTACGCCGAGACCTTTAAGTTCTACGATTTTACGAGACTGTGTTAAAATATATATCCCGGTAATTTTTTTAAAATTAACACAATCATAATAATAATGATTTATAAAAAAAAAAAAAAACAATAGAGGTTTCTGTTTTTAGTTTTAACTCCCTTTCTCCACCTCCCTTTCGCCATATTACGATACTCACTGAGAAAGTGAAGAGACTTGTGTTGACTTGGAATTGAACGGATGTGCATTGAATGGATGGGGGGATATAAATATTTTTTAAAAATAAAATAAAACCACCACATTTCGTAATGATCCTAAACTAGTTGCTTTGTTTTCTCACAATGAACTCGATGGCTAGAATAACATAGATATTTGAAATATTCGCCATAGTTTGATCTTGTCCCATTTTGCCTTACCCAACTTGTAAGATTTCCATGGTTTCCGGCGCTTTCGTTCAGCTTTGGAGTAGAAGTCGGCCACTACTGCGTCATGGTCAGATATGCCTGGGACACACGTGGATTGCTCAACAAGGGTGGAGGTTTTACGTGAAGATAAGGCCTAGGACGCTGATTTGACGTGTCGGTGTCCTCTGCACTTTGGTGAGTACTGAGGATGAGGTCAAGTCGACCAGTGATTACTGAATGGTGTTGTCTTCACCGACGGGGTGGACAGTATGCGGGGTACAATATATATCGGTGCCTTTGAAGTCACCGCCAATGATGGTGTCACGTGGGTGCATGCCGTTGGCTGTAAGAATGTTGATGGATGTTTGGAGTTCGTCAAGGTCACACTGGGTTCTTTTGGGCATATAAAAGGCACAGATGTAGAGGTCTTTCTTTCTTTTTTTAATTTTACCGTTGCCCATACTATTTCGCAGGCTGTGACCATTGCCCATACTATTTCGCAGGCTGTGACCATTGCCCATACTATTTCGCAGGCTGTGACCATTGCCCATACTATTTCGCAGGCTGTGACCATTGCCCATACTATTTCGCAGGCTGTGACCATTGCCCATACTATTTCGCAGGCTGTGACCATTGCCCATACTATTTCGCAGGCTGTGACCATTGCCCATACTATTTCGCAGGCTGTGACCATTGCCCATACTATTTCGCAGGCTGTGACCATTGCCCATACTATTTCGCAGGCTGTGACCATTGCCCATACTATTTCGCAGGCTGTGACCAGGTGCGGTTGTTCCACTGATGTGAAGTATCTGTAAAATCAAGATGAAGACGCCATCAACTTTTGTTGCGCAGTAATGAAGATTATACACATTGTAATCCACCGGGAAGACTTCTGAGGACTTTATGTAATCCAGGGCTGGTTCTTTCCGAGGTTTTCTGCCTCTGAGCCATGACTCTGTTTCACATGTTATGGCGGGCTTGGTGCATTGGATTGATGACTGTGAGCTCTTGTCTCTTTGATTCTATGCTTTGGCAGTTGATATTTAGTAAGCGGGGGTTTACAATTTGGGGATTGGTCAGGGATAGAGGGAGAGGTTGGGGGTGTCGTTTGTAATCTTGGGATGCCTTTAGGTTGAGTAGGGCGTTTGGCTGGGCTGATGGGATTTTAGGGTACTTGTTATATGCGGTGAGAATTGGAAAGGCTTTACTTTAGATTCAGCGTTTGGTTTGGGTGATGAGAGGGGAGAGAAGGAGTTTGAGCAGTTCAGTTGATAGCTGTGGAATGTGAAGCTGTCGATGTTGATACTGTTGCGGCGTGGACAAGACCATGCACAAGAGGGTTGACTCGTTTCGCCGTAGTCCGCGGACCGATTTTCGGCACATAGCAGGTTGAACCAGATTCCACATGTGTCGCACGCTACGCCTTTGCTGTTCCAATTGACTGGCTCTTGCCACAGTCCACAGGGGTCTGTGGAGGCGGTATGTCGGGGGCCGGGGTTTAGGTGCACATCACCACACAAGATGACTATCAGGAATGTGATAGAGGGGTTGTGGGGGGGGGGGGCTGTATAAAATAATTTAGAGCTGGCGTTTGTAGAGTTTCATCCATAACTCAATGGAGCAGGCGTTTGTAGAGTTTCATCCATAACTCAATGGAGCAGGCGTTTGTAGAGTTTCATCCATAACTCAATGGAGCAGGCGTTTGTAGAGTTTCATCCATAACTCAATGGAGCAGGCGTTTGTAGAATTTCATCCATAACTCAATGGAGCAGGCGTTTGTAGAATTTCATCCATAACTCAATGGAGCAGGCGTTTGTAGAGTTTCATCCATAACTCAATGGAGCAGGCGTTTGTAGAGTTTCATCCATAACTCAATGGAGCAGGCGTTTGTAGAGTTTCATCCATAACTCAATGGAGCAGGCGTTTAATGTCCATTGCTTGGAAATAGGGGTTTTGTCGTTTACCGGTGCAATTGGTGACCGGGTTACCTCTCTCTCTCTCTCTCTCTCTCTCTCTCTCTCTCTCTCTCTCTCTCTCTCTCTCTCTCTCTCTCTCTCTCTCTCTCTCTGTAGATATATATTGAGACAATATGCGCCATTTTGTGCATCCGCATGTTTTCGATTCATTGTGTGTTAAAGAATAGAAAAAAGTAATACATTCCATTTTTAAAAGTATTTTGTGATTACTAATTAGAAAAGTTTTTATATAAACACAGCTAGTTAAGGGGGAAACATACAATAGTATAAAATGTATATAAAATCGAGTACTATTGTATTACAAAATATATAGGAGATAGTACTGTTGCATCACACACTATCTAGAAGAGAATACTATTTTAAAACAAATATCTAGAAGAGAGTACCATTGTATCGCACAATAACTACAAAGTGATAATGTTGTATCCTACAATATCTAGCAGAGTACTATTGTTTCACAAACAATCTAGAGGCAAGCACTATGAGATAACGTTACACATCGTTCAGTTATGTATGAGTTGGCGCTAAAAACCAGTTGGAACTTTTCATTTTTTATTTGTTTGAATAGGAGGCATGTTCAGCAAAATGCGAAGACACATGTGCTGGAAAGCGGGAATGGAAAGCGCTTGGTCGGCCAAGGGTGGCAACAAAACAAGCGAAGCCACTATATACGTTGTACACTAAGGAAATATACTTTTAATAACATTTGAAGCAGAGCAACTATGTACGTGGATAAAAAGTGTGAAAATATTTTCTTTAAATGGTATGATTTATGAGCATTAAAGAGAGCACAAAACCGAAAAGTGGTAGATGGTCTTTAAAAGTCATGTAATATCTCTGGTTTCATCTTAGTTACCATGCCCTTTAAGATCAGTTTATAATGTGTAGTGGGATAATATTATTTATAATATAGTAAAACACAGCAATGAAAATAAAATTAAAACAATTTTTAAAACAATATTTGTTATCCAATTTGAAATGAAGGGATATCGGTCCGTTGACAAAGCATAATTTCTTAAACGTAAACACTATCCTGTAAGTTGTTATGTATTCTGCAAGTGTTATGTATTCTGCAAGTGTTATGCATTCTGAAGTATTAATGCACCTAATAAGTTGTAATTTATCCTGTAAATTGTTATATATCCTGTAAGTGTTATTTGTCATGTGAATTGTAAGGGTTTCTGTAAGTGTTATGCATCGATTAAGTTGTTATTTTTCGTGTACGTTGTTATGCATCCTGTAAGATGTTATGCATCCTGCAA